TGACTCATTTATTTTTTCTCAGCATATTAAAAATATAAAAATATTTTTTCCATCATTTTTTTGAATTTATTAAGTATTTATTTGATGGTTTTTGTACATAAATAGATAAATATACATATATATTTTTGTTTAAAATATTAAGATAATACAAATATATTTCTTATACACTTTTATTTTATTTTTACTTCCTGAAAATATTTTGTGTAAAAAATACCCTTTTTTTATTTTTATATTAAATATTATTATATATATAATACATATTTAGAACTTAATCCATAAATATATATATTTATTAATCTACTTAGAATAAAATACTAAAAATATACATATTTTATTTTATTAATATTAAACACTAAAAAAATCATTTTTTACAAATATATTTCTTTTCTTATTTTATTTTTGTGTATAAATGATAAATATTGTATATATTAATAAATAATGCATTTTGTTTAATAAAATTAGGGTTTTACCCTAAATTCAAAAATACTCCAAAAATAGTATCTTTTTATTTTTACATAAATAATACTTTCTTTCATACACATACCAAACATTTTTGCATCTTACATATTTTATTCCATTTTTATTTAATTATTGTACATTAAATTGTATATTCCAAAATTGATGTAATAGCTAGGTTTCAATTTCTTGTCTAAATATTCCCATTTGAAACATTGTACCCCCCTCCCCATATTATTATGTTGTAATAGCGTAGGATTTTAAATTTCGCACTTTTATCGCTTTCTAAACATACTATGCTAGAATTAGGGTTTTGTATGCGAATAAAAATGAACAAAATAGTTGGACCTAATACAAGATAAATGAGCATGAAAAATGGACAACACATCTCACACTTGCACCTCTAGGGTACTCCACTTTGTTGCCTTCAAATAATTGGGCCATATTGTATGTTGAATTTCTTTGGGTAAAAACAAACCATCAAATGATCATAGTCCCACAAAATGCTGCTTAAATAAATGATCAAGTCCCTTTTAAAAGAAAATTGCCCAAAGACATTTAACACAATTGCAACTATGGTCTAAACGATGACCCGCGCCCGTCCCTTTAATCTCCTAAAACAAGATTGTCCACCAAATGCAATGGTGGAACAAAATTGTCAAAAGGTTTAAAACATAAACAAAAATCTTTGAGAAAACTTTAGGGTAGATGAACTCTTAAGTACTTGTCAACTTTCCAAGAAAACACTTGCCTTATTTCAAAACCCACTTCACAAACACTTTCAAAAACCTTGAAACATCTTTTTTAAAAGACAAAACACCTTTTGTAAAACATTCGAGTAAAGAATTGTTACAAGGGTAGCCTATACAAGGCATCTTTTCAAAACATTTTCAAAATCACACACCAAGCACCATTTCAAACAATTGAAAACCAAGGCAAGTTGATCTAAGCAAGTACCTAAGAGCCCATGGATAACCATGGATATAAGGGGTGCTAATACCTTCCCCTTCTATAATCTACTCCCCGAACCCAAGAAAAATCTCAAAGGTTTTTGCTGTGCTTTTTAAACCTTTCCTTAGGATAAAATAAAAAGTCGGTGGCGACTCTTGCTCAACCGAAACATTTACGAAAACAAACGCAAAAACCATAGTCAGTTCTCCCACCGTATCACAATAATATATACAAGAACTTTATTTTCTTTCAAAATAGAAATTAGGGTTAAACCTTTTTTTAAGAATTAATTTCTTTTCCTTATATTTTTAGGATTAGATTAAATTTTTCTTTTCACACAAAAAATAAAACAAAATCTTTTTCTTGCATGTACATAATATTGCATATTTAAATATTGTATATTGTTTATTCTAATATTCGTACAAATTCGATTTGGTTGTAATAATTTATTTAGATTTATATTCTTGCAATTTTCCATTCAAATTTGTATTCCCCCCTCCCCACAAAGTTGTTGTAATAGCTTAGTAATCTTTACATTACGCAATTTACTGCTTTACATGCCATGTTAGTAATTAGGGTTTGTATGGTAAGATCAAAACAAAGCAAATAGAAAACCCTAAATGCAAGATAAAATCAAAACATGAAAATAACACACTTGCACACAAGTATCCTTAGGGTTTTCTCCACTTGATTGCCTTACATAAATAGCCATATTACGCATGCGAAGTATCTTGACAAAACAAACAAATATAAGATCATAGTCTCTCGATGACGCTATTCAAGGTTGCCTTACAAAATGATCTTGGTCCCTTAAAAATGCCAAGATACTTTGCAAACATTGCTAATCATGGTTATACGATGACCCACGCCCGTTCCGTTCACATCCAAAGATAGGGTTGCTTACCAAATCAATGGTAAGACAACAATGTCAAATGAATAGAAAGTGCATAAGAAAGATATTTTGAGTAGGTAGATTACTTCTAGTTACTTGCTCTATTTTCAAACAATTATCCTTGCTATTTTCAAAATCAACACACACATTTCAAAAACATCTTACAAACATTGAAAACATTTTCAAAAGCAAACATCTTTGTATATATTCTTACGAACGAGAATCGTTACAAAGATTACCAAAACAATGGTCTATTTTACAAAATACTTTCAAAACCACGGAAAACACAATTTTAAACAAAAACAAGTGATCTAGCAAGTAACTAAGAGCCCATGGGAAACCATGGATGAAAATGGTGCTAATACCTTCCTTTTTCATAATCTACCCCCCGAACTCAAGAAACTATCTCAAAGGTCTTTCATGTGCTTTTTCACCTTTCCTTTTTTTGGATAAAAGAAAAGTCGGTGGAGACTCTTGCTAACCGAAACATTTGCAATTAATTGCAAAACCCTCAAGTCAGTTCTCCCACCGTATCATAGTATGCAAGGGCAACAACCAGACACTTCTGCTCCTACTCTACAAGCTGAAGCAGAGCCAGATTTCTATGCATTTTTCAGGATGAACCACCAGAATTCTTGAGTGGCTTAGATCCTATGGCAGCTCACAATTGGCTCTATTGTATGGAGAGGATATACCAGACGACCCGTTGTTCTGAGGAAGAGAAAGTGTTATTTATTGCTCAGATGCTGAAACGACCAGCTGGTAGATGGTGGGATACTACATCCACTTATTTTACCTCCTAGATGATTCCAAAGGACTTGTAACACTTCAAGACGGCTTTCTTGAAAAAATATTATCCTAACAGCTTGCGTGCTCATAAGGAACGTGAGTTTCAGTTGTTCAAACAAGATAACATATCGGTGTCAAAATATGCTGAGAAATTTAAAAACATGACTGCCTACTCTAGACAAGTTACAAGTTACGCAGAAATTTAGTTTTTAATTCATCATTCATTTATCAAAGAATAGCGACACCAATGCATCCTATAACATATGAAATATTTTAAGAATAAAACAATATCAATTATAGTCTAATATAAGCACACAATTTTGTATTGCTGTTGCTCGTCGTGAGCCCAGGTTTAGAAGTATACCATACTCACAGACCTAATACAAAGCAATGATGTTCAATAACCAATGATATCATTGCAAAAATAAAATCAAAATAAAATATAGCAATATGTATATGTGCTAATGGCCGATCAAAATAAAATATTACCCAACTTGCCATAGCCTTTCCTAACATATTCATGAGGATCTCCATCCCAAAGCTTTTGGTCCTATGCTTGATTCTACACAAAACAGAATAAGAATTATTGTTCAAAATCTATTAATATTATTATTTTGTGGAAAATCAAAATTCATTAATAAAAATAACACAAGTAGTGTTACCAAGCATAAGACATACATAATGTTCAGTGTTACCCCTCAAACACCAATACATGTGCTACAACAATTGCCAAGAACTCTGAATCTTAACCTATCTATAAGAACTATAATAATTGATAAACAAACACCACCAAGCACCACCAATTTCAATACTAAGTGTGAGGGAAATCGGCCATGAAACATCACCCACTCTCTCGGTAAAACTCCACAGAATCTGCGACTATCTTTACTATGCTTGACTGATAAAAAATTCTACAGCACCACCGGCCAGATGATAGATATAGCCTCCACTCTTGTCTCGAACACAAGACAACTGCAACACCCGATCACAACATCATGCCAAACAAAAATATGCTAGATCTTTCCACCTACAAGCAACAAGTCTACACAACCCAATTTTTTTACAGAATCTGGTTTTCTTCACTATGCTACACCAATAGAAATTCTAGCGCCACCATCATCCTAGTATCACATTTGTTTGCTTATCTACACTATGCAAGTTAATTAGTTGATAAACATTAAAGCTAACCTTGAGCATCTGAATACCTTTTTCATATGAAAGTTTTTCTCAGATACTGATTTCCCACAGCTTCGAGATCCTTCTTACAATTTGTGTTCAAACTGCCAAACATAGCGACAACAATCTGTCAACTACATTTTTGTAAAATTGCCAAGAACTCGCAATTGTTAATCTTGTTAAAATACAGTTTCTCGAAATATACCAACTTGGATTGGACATGATATGAAAACACTTCAGTTAAGATCAAATGAATTTAGTGGTGATATTCCTTTTCAAATATGGCAACTATCCTCTCTCTTTGTCTTGGATCTCTCAAATAATAGATTAACAAGAACAATACATCACTGCCTACGTAATTATTCAAGGTCACTGCATTACAATCCTAAAACTGGTCACAAAATCAATTAACGGAACCATACCTGAAGAAATAGGAAATGGTGACATGGCTTATTACGTCTTAATGAACGGGTATCTACCTGAGCTTTGTCAGTTGCATGTTGGTTTCAGATAACATACGACCTCCCGTTGCGTGTGCCTGGTGCATTAAGGTTGTATGTTGCAAACCGTTATTCATTTTTTGTTTTTAAAAGGGATGTTGATTGTAAGGCCGACGTAATGCTTCAGGGATTTAGTCCAGCTTATCATTTGTCTTCGAGTAGAAGTACTATTCATCATTCATCTGAGTATTTGCTACTTTATTGCATTACTATTACCCTTGAATCTTCATAGCAATATGGCTACAACTGTGGTGGGAGGAGCATTTCTCTCTGCTACAATTCAAATCATAGCAGACAAGCTTACCTCATCAGAAATACCAAGTTCAATTACTCACTTCTAGAAGAGTTGAAAACAATGTTATCAGCTCTTCAAGCTGTGCTGGTTGATGCAGAACAAAATCAGTTCAAGGATCCTCATGTTAAACAATGGCTTGAAGACTTGAAAGATGCATTATTTGATGCTGAAGATTTGCTTAACTTAAACAGCTACAGTGCCTTGCGATGTAAGTTGGATAACACCAGTTGATCAGCTGAAGTACTTTCCACCAAAATCTATAAATATCAATTCCAAGATGGAGAAGACTTGTAAAAGGTTACAAACTTTTGTCCAACTGAAAGATATCCATGCCTTGCAGAGAACTATTAGTGGTAGGATGATAAAAGTACACCCATCAATATCCTTTCCTTGCATCTTTGATTCTTGCATAATTAAGACTATCAAAATTTAAATTTCTCCTTTTTAGAGTAACCCTTATTAACCTAATCACTGTAACAAAAGAGTGGTTGATTAAGGAACATATGAGTGGTTGACTTATATAATTGAAAATCAAAGAAATAGATAGAAACCTGATCAGCATGTAGCATGCACTTCACAGAATCACTATTAACATAACGATCGCCGAGATCCATAATCCTAGCTCCATCTGCCAATGCAGCCGCAACAACCAAATCACTAGCATGCTTCAGTATCCGACTTTGTATTCAAAAACATGCAATGATTATTCTATAATTTTTCAGTATGCTTTACTGTCAGAGCAAATTACCTATAGTTAGGCTTAGCTACCGCCACTATCGGCTCCTCTAAGAGATCTTTCTCCGAATCAACGAATTTTGGAGTTACATCCTGTGTGGTGGTGGACTTTTCCTGAGTATATGGGAACAACATATCTCCCCAAGAGTTTCAATTACTGTCTACTTAGCATACCTGACAGGATATTTAGATTACACATGTGACTGCTGGCAATTTGAATGAATGGGAATAAAATATCCAATCCTTGGAAACTGTACAAACTTTTATTGTGTGTGAGAGTGACTACTAAGAATCTTCAAATGTGAAAAGGGTTCACCATTTACCGATCCATTTTCAATACTATTATTTACATGATGATACATTCATTTATAAATCGTAAAAGAGGTGGAGGTACAAAATACAAACCTTCATTCAAATACTACAATAGTTCCCATAATTGTTCAAGTAATGGTGCTATAACTGCAAGTTGTTCTTTGATAGTTCGAGAAGTATTATCGGGCTACAAAAGAATAAAAGATATGTATAGTAAATCTGCATGTAACCATTGCTAATAAAAGACGATAGTGCTGAAGGTTCTTTAGAAAAAGCTAATAAGGGCAGTGAATGAAAACCATTCCTGCCTGGTTCTGCCACTGAATAGATAAAAGACGAGGAGTTTTCCCGTGCGTATGCACTTTTTATTTGACAATGCTATCAAATGGTTATTGAAGCTGTATTAAGACCAACTATTGCGCAATCCTCCAATGGCATGTCCCTCCGGTCTTTTCGTAAGAATCAATAAATATTCATTAGAGGTATCATTAAATGGGAAAAACAAATGTAAAGGCCAATGCCATAAATGGTGAAGAGGGAAAATGGCACAAAGAAACATATCTATTTAAATTTGTAGTTAAAGAAACATATCTACTTAATTTCAATTTTTCCCTAAATTGAATTTCAACTTTCATAGCCAACACTCATTTCCAACCATAATATGTTTTCCAATGACAAATATGTCCATTAGATTAACACAATGACTTAACACCTTCCTTCTGAAAAAAATCATATCTCGAAGGCAACTTAAACAATAACAATATCCATCCGAAAATATGAACTATAGCAGGAACTTTCAGATTTCCACACACGCGTTTATGTCTCCTGCAGTCCTGTATCAAGATGAATTGTAGAAAATTGACAATCTTACTTACTTGAAGAAATATTAGATCAGAAGTAAATACAACCACACACCTGCAATACAAACCATACACAGATTGTTTGATATACGAATTTTAACGTAAACTCAATTCTTTCAAAGATATGCAGTGAAATCCTAGCACTTGCAATACAAATGTCAAGACTGATGTCCTAACACCAACACAATGTATATACAGATATTATGGCATCCTCTGCTAACATAAAATCCTTTCTAAAATTGGAGATTGTGCAGAAAATAAATTATAGAAAATTAAACAACATAATCAATTGTTAACCCAGTTTAGTGCAACGTCACCTACTCTGGGGACTACCAAGGCAGGAACGAAATTCACTATGATAGTATTAGTTTAAAGCCTAAACAACCATAGTTTACAACTTAGCACCTAATCACTACCTTGTGCAATTTCTATCTAGACACCTTCTAGATAGTAGATCCCTTTCTCACTTCCAATCGCCCCAGTGATACCTATAGTTACAAACATGTGACTAGAATCAAAACAACCAAATAGAAGATTACACTTTCAATAAACAATACTTAACTCTTTCCTTAAAAGCTCACGAGTGAGAACAATACTTAGTTTTACTTAAAAGCTTTAAACTAAGAGCAATCAGTCAACATCAATGTATCACAGATACATGAGTGACATACAAAGAAAACACAAAGACCCTAAAAGACTCTCAAAATCCTAAACCCTTATATTGCACTCCACGATTTTTCTTGTTGTGAATGCTTGCTATTTTAGGTTTAACATGTCCTTATTTATAGACTCTTGTAGAATGGACTTGGACTCTTCAATCAAATTCAATCTTTTGTTTTAAATCAGCTGCAAGATCTTCACATAAAAATAGGAACAAATCTTCAAAGTTTCCTAAAAAGTCTCCAAGATCCTTTTTATGAAATCAAATCAAATATGCAATTGTTCCTAATAAAATCTTCTTGATCTACGAAAATCAGTGAGATATATCCAATAGGATCTCACAAAATCAAATCAAATATATGTAGAGATATAACAGCAGGACTTGTTGTATAATAGACCAAGATGTCAAGACATCTGACTCAACATTTGTCTGGTATACATGACAGCAGAACCTGTCATGATAGTTGTTCAAGATGCTGTGACATCTTGCTCAACATCAGTTCAGAATCTTGTTTTAGAAAAATTTAGGCCAATCATAAAACCACGGATCTAATAATCTCCCATTTTTTGCAAATTTTGACTAAATCAACCTTAGCGCAATCATGCTGGAGAGGAATAAAACCACAACTATAAAACATAAGCTAAATGCAAACATGTAAACTTTGTACAAATTGCAACATAAAAATATACCAGAGATTACACAACAGTTACATAACACCATCTTCAATACTCCAGAAAGACATATGTCCAAACATGTGGTCAAATATCACACATCATAGCTCCAAAATAGCACATGAGCTAGACAAATCAGACAAATCCATTACTCCTCCTGTTACACATAACTAGTACTCCTTTCAAGGGAAAACCCAAATCACCAGAAAATTCAATATGAACTTTCCAGGTTCACACATCAGAGGCACGTGCAACAGAAGATAAAACAACCTCACATCAAGATTTCCACACAACTTCAATAGGAAGGATGTTAGAACATCTGGTAAGACATCCTGCTCATAACCATATTAGTAGTAGCAGTAGCAGAAACACCAAACACGCATGATAGACTAGCATGCTCCCCCTAAATAGTTGTATACAATAAACAACCACAATAACTACTCTCTCCTTAGAAGTAGTACAGTCTTATCAGCATGCTAATCAACATGTCGTTACACTAACACTTTACTCCTCCTTTTTAGCCAAAAATGGACAAAAATTAGAGTAAATATAAAAATATTGGAAGCACACACATTGCCCATAGAAACACACAATAGCGATGGAAACACACACTTCAAAACTCGAATGAAAACACACAATCTTGAACAACTTTAGGTGGTCTTCCACCTCTTGCCCCTGTCAAAGATCCTTCTTCACTCTTTGGCGGTGTCACCAGCCCTTCTATCAATAGAAATTTCTATAGGCTTACCATACCTCAGAACATAGAGGAAAATTATAATATTTGATGAATTCCTCCATACCCGCAATTACTATAATTCCATAATAGTGCAAGTTCAAATCCCATCACTTATGTTCTCAATCTGATTTAGTTTAAACATAACAGTAAGTTATTCCTTGTTGTCTATATGCTCCAGAGTAACAACCTTTACTTCAACAAGATTCTTGATTAGTTGATTGTGACTATCAAGGTTCTTGTTACACCCATGTTAAATGAGATATATGATGGCATTCAGATATTTACAATATAATGTCAAGACATCATGTTTGACATTATAATCCTTCAACATTTGTTTCTTTCATACCAGTTGAAAGCAGCCTTTCCTTGTTCCACCATGTTCAGCTTCAGCAATAATCAAACATCCACCAGTACTATTATCCAACTTTGCCTTACTCAATTCTTTCATGCTGAAAGAGTAAGGCACACCATAAAAACTTATTCCAATGATGTAGTTCTAGATTTTCCTTTCTTGAATAGTAGGACACATCCTTGGTTTAAACTTAGACAAAAGACATGAATTTTATTTTTTTTCTTACTGGATTCAGTGATGTCTTCTTCATTAAGATGGCTTAAAATCTATTCATTGGATTGTTCTATCTGACATGTAGTAGAGAGACATTTGTTGGCTTGAGAACTTATTGATTCAGAGCTTGTGAATTCATAAATCATCTCCCTTACTACCTCACCAGTCTGCACATAGGATGTTCTAACATTGTCTTCAACATCCACCCTTTGTTCAGTAATTGAATCATCAATTTCCACACTGATAGATTCCATTGTCATTCCAGTTCTGTAGTTAAAAACTCTATAAGCTCTCATGCTTGAAGAGTAACCCAAAAATACCCATTCACCCCTTATGTGATCCTTCTTACCCTTTTGTTCTTTATCAGTCAAGATACAACATTTACTTCCAAAGATACGAAAGTATATGACTTTAGGCTTGCTTCCTTTTCGTAGCTCATAGAAAGAGGTTGAAGTACCTCCTCTAAAAGTGACCCTGTTATGAATATAGAATGAAATATTCATAGCTTTATCCTAAAACTCCAATGGCAATTTCTTAGCATGAAACATGACTCTAGCTTATTCCTGTGTAGCTCTAGTCTCTTATGCAACAATTCCATCTTGCAGAGAAGTGATGGAACAAGAGAACTCATGAGTAATACCTTCAGAAAATTTAGAGAACTTTAAATTCTCAAACTCCTTGTCATGGTCAC